ACGCCTCAGCTACAGTGTATAGAACATACATGGGGCTTCCTCAGGCTTCAGAATCAGCTTCACTAGATGTGCTATGTAGGAGGCCACGGAAAAATTACTGTAGGAGTAAAAGTTACCAGTTCTGATGCAAACAATCCTCTCGTCCCCAAGAAGTATCACTAAGGGATTTTTTTGTCCCATATTATAAATTGGCCTGAAAATATCCTTTCATATGTGAGGAATGAGTATATGATGACTTTCTCCTTTAAAGTATGAACTGCTGAAGGACAGAGATAATATGTATTCTGTATTCCAACACCCACTGTGTGTTTCTGGTCTTTGTACCAGGTGCTCAGGAAGTGTTTTCACTGGCTTGGGTTGACTACTTGCCATCTGCTCTCTGAGCATTCATTTCTGAATGAAAAGGGAGAAAGTGAAAGGACTGGTGGGAAGAAAGAGGAAGCTGGAGAAATAAGAGGAAACAGCTGGAGGAGGGAGGTGAAGCTGAGGAGGTGGAACTTATGTAAGGTCAGTAAAACAAAAAGCTAGCAGAGGGCAGGGTCAGGCCCTGGGGGTAGAGGGCTAATTAACTTCTGTCAGCTAGTTGAATAGAGCCTTGTGTGCTTTGTTAGAGACCAAAGGTACTTCAAAGGAAAAAATCTAGATTCTTCCCTGTGTACCTTAATAATTGTTCATCAGGTCAAAATCTGTCCTGTCCTCTAGGAATTCTGGTCTTCCCTCAGGCCTAGCAGAGAGCTTTCTGCCACTACTCAGGCAACCAAGGGTGAAGTGCTTCAAGTAGTATTTGTGGACAGCAGCAGGTAAGCTTGGTGTGTTATTCACAGCTTAAAGAGTAAATGCTGAGTACAGCTGTTGTCCATGTGTAGAGCTTTTAACAACCAGCTCAGCAGGCCCCTTCACCTGCTTTTATGCTGGGACCAGATGACTGAATGTAGAACTTCAGGCACTTTTTTTTTTTTTTTTTTGAGATGGAGTCTCGCTTTGTCACCCAGGCTGCTGGAGTGCAGTGGCACGATCTTGGCTCACCATAAGCTCTGCCTCCTGGGTTCACACCATTCTCCTGCCTCAGCCTCCCAAGTAGCTGGGACTACAGACGCCCACCACCATGCCTGGCTGATTTTTGTATTTTTAGTAGAGACATGATTTCACCATGTTAGCCAGGATGGTCTCGATCTCCTGACCTGGTGATCCACCCGCCTCGGACTCCCAAAGTGCTGGGATTACAGGTGTGAGCCACCGTGTCTGGCCCTTTAGGCACTTTCTACTTCTCAAAGTCAAGAAACATCCTTTAAAAAGTTAATTCCCTTTTCTGGAGTCTAAGCCAGATCTTATCTAAGCCTTGTGTTGCCATCTGTTGGCATTATTTTCTAGAATGGAGCAGCTTTCTCAAAGTTTGGTCTTGCTAGACGTGAGGTCATGTAAGTGTCTTAGGTCATGCTGCTCACCTTCCTTACCCAGGGAGCATACTGCCTAGGTTTCTGAACACCTGTTTTCATTATTCACTGTTCTTCTCACTACCAAGAATGGAGGGACCCTCAGATGAAGATCAAATTGACTCTGAAGAAAAACTGGAGATGTTTCTCTTGGAGTTTGGATAGACTATTGATAACATGTTTTTGCCCTGCCTTGCTCTTCACAAGAACATTGGGCCAGACATTAACAATTAGTAATTTTTTTTTGCATATGAACAGTATTTTTTTTCTGGCGACGTAGATAGGTGCACATGACACTAAACAATGCTGTTAGTGTCATTATATCCCTCTTAACTGGTGGGATGTATTTGGGGTGGAGGCTAGAGCCAATGAGAAGAGGTTCACCTCTGTACCCAATAAACTTTGTATAGAAATTTATTTTTTGACTATTAGCACAATGCTATAATTGAGCTAATCTTTGTAGTTTGGTCCAGGACCACCAAGTTTGTGTGACCTATTACCTACTTTTTCCATGCTCAGCCATTACCCTGTCCTGGGGCATCTGAGGGCAGTAAGGAACAGGTGTCCAAAGGAGGAATGTTGGTGCCTATGGTATGTTTTCCAATTGTATTGAATTTCTTACTTGGTGTATTTTTGACTTGTCTTAGTTTCTTTCCTTGTGATCTATGCTATTTTACTTGCTATTTGTTGGATATTCTCCCCTGTCATTAAAAGGGAGTTATAAAATGGAAGTTAGTATTTCTATGCAAATGCCTAGGTTTAGCGTTGATTTTTGCAGGTGTCTTTCAACAAGTGTGAAGGTGATAAATGTGTTTCCATGGCTTTAGACTCATTTTTGAAGTATTGGATTGTGTGAACATTCTTAGAAACAATAGAATGTTTTAATTAAAAGCCCTCGACTACCAGTTGAACTCAGTGTCTACTAGGAAAATGGGTAGATTTGTTACATTGTCCCTTTGCTCTCTATGACTTTGTTCCAGTTGTCAAGGAATTTAAATGGGTATTCAGGGAAAAAGAATTCTTGTTTCCCTTTCTTCACCTTGCCAGTTAAAACAAATAACTCCTGGTGATACTTCAGGTGGTAGAATTGAAACAAAACCTGACTTCTGACCACATGGGTCAAAGGCAAATGGCTTCATTTGCCTTTAGTGTGGTTATCCAGTTTGGGTAGTGAGGAGATAACTTCTGCTTTCCTCCCTGAGGAGTTTGGAGTATTTAAGCGGGGAAGGGGGGGAGGTGTCACTTTGAAAATATGTTGCTTTTTCTCCTGATTGTATTGAGGCTGATATGGAAGGGTTATTTCTTTCTGGCCAGTACTTTTTGGTATTTGTAAATGTTGCAATTTTGATTTTTACTATTTGTTAATTGTCAGTTCTGGCTTTTTTTGCATAAGGAGTTGGTCCATTAACTTGTCAATTTGAAGCTTCTAACTAGATATTCCCTACTGAAAGTTTTGGATTTGTTTTTAGTTTGTGGAGCAGTCTTAGCTGGGGACAGGTAATTAACAACAGCAGAGATACTTCCTTTTCCTAGGATTCTAAGTCTGTAATCCACATCCTCAGTGTACTCACAGGACTTTAAAATTCTCTCCAAATGAGGAAGGAAATATCCTGTTGCTTTCTAATGTTTACTAAAAGTTGTGTTTAGAACAACAGATTTTAATAGGCATCTTCCTTTGTTATGTGTCATTAGCCCTTTGCCCGTTTACCTTAGGGTTCTTTCAAGGAGAAATGGATGGGAGAAAACCTGTCACTTGGAAAAAGTAAAAGGAATAATTAACTGACTCAGAGCTTATGTGCAGAGTTCCCAGCCTCAAAGTTAATCTGGAACTGCTCGATAGCACCAATAAAAATATTTATTTCACATCTGTTATTTCTGGAAAATGTTCTAAGCATCTTACATATATTTCTCATTAAATTCACAGGTGGCCATTGTGAGGTAGATATTTTGTTCTCATTTTCCAGATGAGGAAGCTGAGACCCTAAAAGGTTAGGTGACAGGTTATACAACTTGGAGTGTGGGAGGAGGAGAGAGGAACCTGAACAGGGCAAGTTGGGGATCTGACTTTTGTTTGGGTGGGTGTAGGCACATTGTATTTTTGGTTTAGATGCTTTATTCATCATGGCTGAAGGTAATACCATTTACTCACTGAAAACTGTTTACAATAATCAAGATGAATTTACTGTCTTTGAACATCTGTCTTTTGACTGGACCCCAGTAGATAGTCTGTGGAAATTCACGTAAGGAGAGGGCTCCTTTTTGTTTGGTTAGAGAAATTGTCTGTCCTAAAGGTAGAAATAGCCCCTTCTAGGTACGGATGGAGCATTTGCTCATACTGATTTCATTATATTCCTCTAACAGTTGGAACTGATTGTTTTTGAGTACTTGTTTCAAACTTCTGAATATTTTCCTTCTGGAAAGTAGCTCAGTGTTTAAAATTTATATGAACTTAAAAAGTTAATTTTCTTTTTAAAGATGTTTGAGGAGCAATCAACAATTCTGGTTTTGTCTTATGGATAGAAATAGAATTAGCCATTTTCCTCAAGAAAAGTGATTCTTCTGAATCTTATTTCTTCAGTAATGAGAACTGGACTGTTTTCACTTGACCTCTGTTTCCTGTTAGTGGGAAACCCCTCCCCAGAGGTGCTGTGTGAAAGATTGCTGGGGAAAGGGTTTCTAGATTCCAGCATAACAAGTTCAAAAGAGCCCAGTGATACTGTCATTAGAATAATGGTCTTCATTAAGTACTGGTTTTCATAATCTTGAAGCTTCATTTTCACCAATTTGAAAGGCAGTAGCTAGGGAGGAGAGACTATGCAGGGAAGAAGGAAAACTCAGGAGTGCATCACAGACCTTGAGTTAAGGCAGGGAAGAAGCACATTTGCTGTCCACTGAATGAAAATAAAAAGAATTCCATTGTCCAAGGTTAGAGCAAGAACATAAAGGTTTTAGTTTACTTAGTTAATTCCTTAGGTTTGGACATTACAGGAGACATGGGGGTCACCCATAGCAATTTAGCTGATAAATGTATCAGAAACTCTTTCATCATTTTCTGTCCCCTCCTGTCTTAGGCTGACCGGTTCCCTGATGTGTTACCTGCTTCTGCTACTGATCCAAACTGCAGAACTTCTCCCCCAAGGCCTCCAGGCAGTATCCAATGGGGAATCAGCTCTAAAAGGAACCAGACCAACGTTTTCCAGCCCCTTCATTCTGGTGACTGAGGGGAGGAAAGAATGGGAGGGGGTATTCTTGTCTAGTGGATGGAAAGGAAACACACTGTCAAATTATTGTATCTCCTTGGTTTTCTATTACAGTAGAATTCTCCAGCCATATTTTTATTGTCTATGGGGGAAGTTGGAGATGGTGACCTTGATTAGAAGTGTCTGGAGGGGGAAAAATGGAGGGGATAAGATTCAGTTGGTTTTGGAAAATGTTGAAGTCTTAATGCGTCCATCTGAAGAATGTTTCCTAAAAGCAGAGTTTATAAAAATATCACTGATACAGCCTGCCCCCTCATTTCCCTGCCACAGGAGATGTCTTGGACTAGAGACACTTGTTTAATAATAGCTTGTCTCTGATATTCCCAGTAGCTACCCTCTGTGTGAGGAAAGGATAGAAATGTTCAGGACATCATCATACAGGCTCCTCATCTACAAAGTTCCAGTAGCAGTGACGCCTACACGGAAGACTTGGAACTGCAAACAGAGGCTGGGGTCACCTCAGTGACATCTCCTGACGCTGTCCAACCAGAAGTTCGATTTTTGTTCTGGGGGTGAAGGAGGAAACAGACTGTACTAAAGGACTAAAATAATTTCTTGTCTATACCATCTCACTTGTTTTTATTTTTGGCGGGAGAGGAGGGGTGTTGGGATAGAATTTCACATCCTATCTTGGAGTGAAGGGGAGGATGGGGAGGCTCAGCCCTTCACCCAAGAATAACCCAGTAATGACATCTCTACGCGTGGGAAGTGTTTCCCTCCACACTGGGAGGATCTGAGGCTGCACCCCAGTGGGATTCCCTGCTCGAGTTGGAAGGCCATCTAGCCATGAGATGCATATCATAGCGAGAGCGCGGAGGGCTTAGCCGACCGGGGAGGAAATGCCAGAGGGAAGAGACACTCGAAGTCGAAAGGGCTTCCCCCAATTTGGAGGTGGGGACCATGCTGTGCATGAGCGATTGAAGAGCCGGGTGTCCGCTGTGGCCTGTGCCCTCCGCTGAGGATCTGACAGGGACGCTAAGGTGCTGGACACCGTGTCTGAGTCACGGGAGACGGCCCAGCTGTGCCCAGCGGGCCAGCGCCAGACCCTGGCGTCCTCCATCTTCTCTCCTGAGCTCCCCCTGCTACAGCTGCCTGAGCCACGGACCGCAGCACCACACACCCCCGCGGGGGGGGACGCCGCGCCCCATCCCCGCCCCGGGCCCCACCCCAGCCCCCCCGCGGGGGCCCTGACCCCACCGCCAGCGGGCACTGGCTGAGCTCCGAGGCGGCGAGCCGGCAGCGGGGACGCCCAGAGGGGGTCCGGGCGACTGGGGGCGGCGGCGGCCGGGCCGGGGCTCCCCCCCCGCCCGCGCTCGCCGCCGCGGTGGTGCGTCCCGGAGGTTACCGGAAGTGGCCGCGCTCGGCGCTGCCATGTTGAGGAGCCGCCGCTGCCGTTGCCGCCGCCGCCGCCGCCGCTTTGTTGTCGCCTCCTCCGGCTGAGGAGGCTCCCCGAGCGGGGGGAGTGGGGAGGAGGGGGGTCGGCCGCCGCAGCCATGGAGGCCAACTGGACCGCGTTCCTGTTCCAGGTACTGGGGGCCCCCCCGGGGGGGCACGGGGGGGACAGGGGGGCCGGGCCCCGGGCTGGCGGGCGGGCGGGCGCTCCTCCTCCCCTCCCTCCCGGCTCCGCTCTCCGGCCCGGCCTTAATCCCCCTTTGTTTTTCCGCCCGCCCGCCCGCCCCGGCGGAGCGGGGCTGCTGAGGTGAAAGGAGGCGGCCTCACGGGGTGCGGGGGAGAGAGCAGGCCTCGGGGTGAACCCGGGGGCCCCCCAGCACACACACGCACACACACACACTCACACACACCCTTCCCTCCCGCCCTGAAGGGGAAGGGAGGAGGCCGGTCGCTGTCACCACCCCGCGGCCCAGAGAAAGGAGGGCGCCGGGCCGCTGGATAGCGCGGGCTGCTGGGCCACTGCGTGCCGGCCCGGTCCGGCACGGTGGGGTGAGGAGGTCGCCAGGTCCTGCTCTGAGTCCCCTCCCGCCACTTCATCCATCTTTCGCTTGTTCTCTTTTCACCTCCCTCTTCTTTTTGTGTGTGTGCGTGCCTGTGTTGACTTTCTGACCCCCTCTCGTGTCCCCGCGAATAGCGGGTATCCCTATGTTCCCCGCCACTCCCCCTCACCGCCACCACCCCTGTCGTGTTTACCCAGTTGGGGGGGGGCGGATGTTGTGAGTGTGTATCCCCTCCCCAAACTTTTTCACTGGATTTACATTTTTTCTTTCCCAAGCCTCAGCCGAGCCTTGGCAGCTGACACCTTCTCCCTCTGTCCAGCTCTCCCGCCGTCCCATTGAGCCCGGGGAATCCCCCAGCCGGGCCGGCCCGGGGCGGGGGGAGCGGTGGGGGCCGGGACTCTTGGAGGCCCGACCTTCTCCCGAAGCGCTTTTCTTTCTCGGCCCACCTCGAACGTTTCCTCCAAGTGGAGAGAGCAAACAAAGTCCGCTTACAAAGCCCCCAGATGAGTCACTCTCTGGGATGTTGGTCTTCGCTTTTTTGCAAGAAACTTGAAAGTGACTGTAGCCGATCTGTTTTGGCAATTCTCTTGCCCGCCCACTTTAGATGGGGGACCCCTCTTTGGCAGATCTAGGCTGGAACTTATTTTTTTCCTACTCCTTTCTATTTGCAAACGAAGCATTTAGTGGGCAGTAGCGATGAGCTCACGAGGAAACTTCGGAACTGGAGGAGGTTAGGAAGCTCGTCACTTTTAAGTGCGTTCTTCCCGCCTCTCTGAGTTATTTTCCTTTGAATACTTGGTGAAATCCCAAACGCGTAGCTGGGGCGCTTGATACCTTTTGGAACTAACAGGAACGGATGCAGAATTTTCAAAAAATTATTCTCCCAGCCATTGGATTCATCCTAGTGGAGTTAATGTAGGGATTTGGATAACTCAGAAATTACCTATTGTGTAGACTGGCCTTTTGTTTTAAGACGTATTTTTTCACATGTGGGCAATTTGATCTTTAAGTAGTTATGAAAATATATTTGGGCTTCTTAAAATTGAAAATACCCAACATTATGGAATTCATGAACTTCCCCCTTTTCTTATTCTGGTCAGTGTTGTTTTATTGTACTTTGATGAGCTTGCTAATAATGTGATAAACCAACTTGAAAATGCATTGGAAAAGAAATGATATATAACTAGCATGCATCCAGGTTGGTGTAAAGGTGGCACATACTTTTCCCCAGAAAAAAGCTCAAATAGTCATTTTAAAATATGGGATTGATGGGCCACTGAAGTGTTTTTCTTATGTGATTAAAAACCATATTAAGCATGGTGTCTATACAGATTGAAAAAAAAAAAAAAAAAAAAAGAGTTCTTCATGTAAAGGAAAAACCCATAACGCATCTTTGGAAAGCTGGTTGAAAAATCTTTTGAAATACTTTTTAAAAATTATTTTTTCCCCTGGATAAAACAAATGCCAAGCGTTTATTGATCAACTTTTTAATTGGATTTTATATTATTTAATTTTTTTCAGCTATTAAAATCTTTTTTTCCACCTGATGGAGAAGTGTGAAAACAAATATTTGATCCTGGGCTTGGCAATGTGTGCAGTGAAATTTGTTGGAAAACTTAAAATTTAGAGCCGAGAGCAGTTGAATGGGTAAAGAGAATATTTCAGTCTTTTCTATGGAAAGGTATGAATAGACTTAATCAGTACTGGTTTTAAGTAATTTTCACTGGGGATATGGAGTTACGTTATCTTGTTTGTTTCCTGGAGCATCCTGTTGAATTTATATTTTAAAAGAATTTAATACCTGCTTGCTTTCCAGATAACTTGGTGGAAAGTGAAAGCTATAGCTATTAAAATGTTTGATGGATGATTCTTCTAACAGGACATTCAAGATATGACTCACCGATGTTAATTTGTTCAGTACAAAATCTTTTACCCTCTGGCACTGGAGATTTCATGGTGCCATATCCTACTACCCTGGGTGATGAAATAACATTTCTGTTTTGTTTCTTGCCAGCCCCAGGAAAAGGAAAGCTTGGGCAAGGTTAAAAAGCCTTGCAGTTGAAAGAGATGGGATATAAAATTAAAACTTTGGTTTGATAATGCTAGTCAAATAAAAGCCTACCCAGAAGTTATATTTTTAAAATAAATCACTTCACTGAAGGCTGGCTGTGGTTGTTATTTTACTCTGTCTCTCCCCCAGAGAACAAGTTGGGAAAACCCAGTTCCCCCTTAGAAGGCTTCATGTAGAAGTGTGGGGATCCTAGGAATCCTCAGAGAGTGATTCCTGTAGTGGTTCTACAGCATTTCACCCAAGAAGCAGGGACCTGGTGTGACCCTCGTGTGAGAGTGAGCTTCAGCAATGCTGTAAAAATACTTTATGTTGCCACAGACATCTGAATTGGTAAAATGGCAGTAAGTGCTTTTAGTACTCCATCGTACTAATGGTTGTTTAGAGTTGAAAAATGCCTCTAAATGCTATAAGTCTGAACTTTGTCCAGAAGATCTGCATTCCCTATTATCTGATCTGTTAGCCTTTGAAATTCTATATCTTCAGCTATCTTCAGCTATTAACTATTTGTATACTGTATGGAAACTTGAGTATCCTACAGCCAGGTTGGAAAAGGGATTACGACTGGAGTCCAAATTCTGTAAGTTCCTACTGATGTCACCTGGGTTGATAGACCCTTGCATTTACAGGAGCTTCACAAATTAAATTAAAAGCGGACTGTAATTTGCTAGGAGCAGTAAGTCCAGAAAGAGACTCATAAGTAACCACATAATTTCTGAGAATGCTTCCAGGACTCAAAGGGTGATTACATCAAAATTATTAAATTGAAACTGAGCACTCTGGATACTACACCTCCTAATCATTTGGGGGAGACGAGTTCCAGGCTTAACTGTTATGCTGCCACCAAGTAAACATAGAGCAACGTGTGGTAGATGTTCTTACCCATCAGAGGAGGAGCTGTGAGTGAGTGTGTGCGTTTCTCCTTGTTTTTTCGTCCTTAATCAAGTTAGCTGTGGGACTTGTGGTTATAGAGTAAGAAGGGTAAATAACTGTCTAAAGTGTCTAAGATGATGGGATGAGCCCCTAGTAGGACATTGTATGCTTAAAATATTTGAAACTCCTCTTGAGTGCATGCATCCTATTAGGATTACAAAACTCAAAGCATAGGGGCTTGGGCTCACTGTCAAGAGTTTCAAAAATAATGTTGGTAAAGAACAACATATTAGGAAGAACTATTTCAGGAATTTTTTCCATCATTTCCTAAATGTTTATCAGTATGGAGAATTTTGAAAGTATCAGAACCAAGAGAGGAACTACTCATAAATGCCAAGAACCTGATCCATGGTGAAATTTTGGTTTCAGTGCAGCCAAAAGAATTTACAGTGTGCAGCCTCCAGTTTTGGGAGTGGAGAAGCACATCATAACAGCAAATGTCTAATACTTTATTGAAACCTACAACTGCTGGAAGAAGATAAATATGAAAGGAATATAAGTGTTTATAGTTTGTTTTTCTCATTAGTCTGTCTTTGAGAGTTTGGGATTTGAACAGCTAGTGTTGCTGAAAGATGCAGACTTCAGTATACAATTAAATAATCTGAGAAACAACTGACAGGTGTTTTGCTATGGGCTACCTTCACAGATGCCTTCCAGGTTGCTTAATAGCAGATTTTGTTTCAACTAAACCTTTTAGTAGTCAAGTGAAAACTTAAAGTTAACAACTAGTAAATGTGTTTAGAGAACTAGATTTCTTTCATCACTTAGCAACAGCCCCTTCCTCAATCTGAGTTTTCTGATAGACATGATGCTTTTCTTCTGGGTGATAGACAAATAGATGATTATGTTATTGTGTGTACGTGAGTGTGTATGTGTGTGTTGCTGCAGTAAGGTACTATTAAATACTTAAATCTGGAGTGTTTTTTTTTTTTTTAATATGTTATTTAAACTTGGTTTCAGCACTGACAGACTAATGCAAACTGATTTCATCAGCTGGTCTGTCCCTTATGAACCAGGATAGTGTGTAGTTTAGTCAGCTGTTTAAAAGCAAGATCACTGTCAGCAACTTAGTTGCAAAAGTTTTGTGTCTGCACAGTGATTTTTCAATGCTTTGTATTGTGAGCTCTTAGAGTAACTAGGTGGTTGCTGGATTACCACTGCAGAGTAGCTGATAGGTTCTTTGACTGTTTCTTCTAGTCTCTGTTGTCTGGAGCATGTTGAATTTCGAAGGCCTTTGTGAGAGGCTGAGTTTCTGAAGTGTAAATGTTTGGTTTTAGGCCCATGAAGCTTCCCATCACCAACAGCAGGCAGCACAGAACAGTTTGCTGCCCCTCCTGAGCTCTGCTGTGGAGCCCCCTGATCAGAAACCCTTGCTTCCAATACCAATAACTCAGAAACCTCAGGGTGCACCAGAAACATTAAAGGATGCCATTGGGATTAAAAAAGAAAAACCCAAAACTTCATTTGTGTGCACTTACTGCAGTAAAGCTTTCAGGGACAGCTATCACCTGAGGCGCCACGAATCCTGCCACACAGGGATCA